CCCCACACCAAAAATAGTGCCGACACACATAAATTGAGATATAATGGTTCAACCACACAATAGGCCAATTTATACTCAACGATTCATTGTCTTTAAAATTCAAAAAATTTTATTTTGTCATTGTAGTATAGAAACCTTTCTTTCTCATAGATGATGAAGTCACCAAGTGCTTCTACCAAAAGAGAGAAGCCCATTAGTTTGTTGGCAGGGTTGACCTCTTCCAAGGACACACATCTTTTAAGAATTTGATCCTTGCTTTCCTAAATAGATAGGGCTCATCCCAATAGTAAAATATGACATAAGATACTAATTTCTTCTTTTGGTGGTAAGTGAGAACTTTGGGAGCAATCCTACTAACAATAGTTTGGAACGTCAACATACTACTGCACAATCTTCTAAAAAACGGAGAGGAGTTGTTTGTCAGGAAAACTCTTATTTATGTCAAGAAGATATTCATCAGATTTTTTCCTTTTTGAGCCTGGATAAATGGCCAGCTTTCTGATTCTCCGTACCCTTCCTATCAATTACCTACAAATCAATTCCTGCATTAGAAGAACCCAGTAGATCAAGCGAGGTTTGGAATTCTTCTTAGCTACAAGGTATCTAATAGCGACATGATTGGTGTGACTAATGATAGGAGTCCTTATCAGGTATGAACTAAACTTGTCAAGTGCTAATAATATGACTAGGAGTTCCTTCTCAGAGGTGGTGTAATGCATTTGGGCTTTGTTAAGGGTCATACTTGCATAGTAAATGACATTGAAAATTTGGAGGCAAGATCGGTTACCCCTCAGTCGGTCGCTCTGACATTTATTGAGCTATCAATGAAGGGTGAAGATGGTTAGACTTATCCTGTTGCCCCGACCAAAACTGAATATGAGCCTGAGCTAACCAGCCAGAAAGAGGAGATATGCCTCTAGAAAGGGAAAGCTCTGGCCACCAATCTGAGTATATCACATCTTCCCCCTTTTCGAAAGAACTGAAAACCCCCTCTAACCACTTGCATGGGTCCCAATGTAAGGCAAGAGGGTAAAAGTGAGAACTAGTTCTGGCAATCAAATTGCTTTGCTCCATCTTAGGAGGGACAGAAGATCGGATTCCTCTATGGGGGCTCTATTCTCTTTCACAATTACCAACAAGATTTGGTCTCAAGCTTTCAAGAAGATCATTTACAAGCAAAGTCTCTTACGTCCGGGCCAGATGATTGATCGATATGAATTGATGACCTAGGAGGCTTCGTACTTTTGGTCGACGATTCTAGTGGAGGCAGAGAAAAAATAGGTGACAAAGATGATAAAGTTTCTTCAAATGTTTAACCTGTCTCCAACTTCACTTGTGACTTTGAAAATTTTTTTCTTTTTATTTTTTGAATATTTGTAAGGAAATGCATAAGAAATTCTTTGTAAAGAAACAAATAGAAATTCTTTTTGTAAATTTTCAATCATGAATAAAGCAAATATTTCGACCTTTTTTCACCTTCGTTTCTTGCATTTTACATTTACCACATATTTTAATTTCCTCGTGATAAATGCTTGTGATTATTGATGGATCAATTTTCTTAAAGCTTGTTTTTAGTTGGATTTGCTGAGTTATTATCTGTCTTAAGTATTACACTTCCCATGTGTTGATCGCTCGGTTAGGTCATCACTTTAGACGGGTTGCATCTTATGCTAGGCGTATTAAGCAAATATTGTCGTAGCCCAGCCTTTACGGGGGTAACAATTAAGACTTACTGTTGGGATGATTTGTATGTTATCCATTTTTGATATTGTCACTGATGGGTAAAGGATCACTGTAAAAACTTAACCCCTTTCAAGCTAGGAAATAGGTTTTTATGATACATGAGCATTGTCGGTTGGTTCTTATGCATTTTGTCGATTAGATGATAATCGTCGCTGTTATCCAATTTTAGATAGTTTTTACTTATTGGATGTTTATTCATCACTATAACTTTTGAAATTCTTTACTTATTTGTCTTGCGTCGTTGTTGGTTTTGGAAGATCTTTACTGCCTTTCACGGAAGATCTTTCCTGATTGAATGCCATGTGTCATTGTTGGTTCTGAAAATTCTTTATCAATCATATGTCATGCTTTGCTATCAATTTCATATCTTGGGTGAAACCACTCTTGGTGGGTCGATTTGAGTTCCTTGAGCCTCAGTTGAATTCTAACAATTCCTTGTATGAACTTTTAAAGTTTTGCAAGTGTCAGTGAAACCTAGGATTGTGCACATAATTAGATATTTTATACTTAACCATTTATGAACTTGATAATAAAATACATGGTTTATGATGATAATGCCTTCTCATTTTGAACTTAATCGCTGGTTGTGATATCAAGCTTGACTCCCTTGAATGTACTTTTTGTCGGTTGCTTGGTTATTCAAGTGTCATCATGAATGTTTTTGGAAAGCTAGAGCCAAGCTGTAAGGATTGTGTCTCAACTCTTAGCTTTCTCCATGGTCGGTTCTATTTGATGGATGACACTTAATTTGCTCAATTTTGAATGATGTTGGGGTGTTGTGATCCTCTGTTGATATGTGATTGATGGCTAGTTCCAACAACTTGACTAGCATTTTCAGTCATTGTAGACCACAAACATAGCAAAATGTTTATTCATACAAACCTTGAGCTAGGGCGGCATGAGCTAATGTAGGCTCCAAATCCCATAGTTCCAATATCTCTTTTATAAGCAGGTGATGAGCGAGTGAAGACTTTCATTATGTCAGCGAGTTTTTTTAGGGTTTTGGGTCATGACAAATTGCACCACAAAACATTTGCTTGCAATCGACAAACTACGCGATCACTTCTGATAGCAATGCTTTGAACCACCTGAGAGCCAACTCCCTTAACGCGACAAAGAAGAATAACTTTTTTTAGTGTATCAGTGATCCTCAATAGACACACATTCGACTAGAACAGGCTATGTGGTTAGTTTGATCGATCCTACCCTTATAGGACTCCAATGTCAAGATCTCAAACCTCTCGGGGGAGCTCAATATTAAAGATTCGCTAAGAGAATTCATTTTCTGACACTCAGGGTGCTTCAATACATCTAAACTAATGTCGGTCAATCATTATTGACCCAAAATTGTAGAAGTATTATGAGCCACTTTCTCTTTCAAGGACTGAGGGGGCTCTTTGACCATTGGATATTGACCTTTTCTCTTAGGGTTGCCACACTCTTCCCTGAGCTAGTGTACTCGAGTGACATTCGACAATTGAACCTTCAGCTCATGCATATACTGGTTCACAAACACTCTTATACTCTCCATATTATCAGGGCATCTGTTGTGACTTTATTCTTTGTGTGTTGCTCCACTTATTGTTTATAGCATGATCAATACACACTACACTTTTTAGGATATTTAATTATGATTTGTTTGTGAATCGCATCCCAAAAAATTGAGCGTAACAAAGAAGAGAGAGAGAAAGAGAGAATGAGGGAGTGATTAATAATGAATACAAAAATTTCATGTCTATCTTCTCTATTTTAGTAAAATGATCTCTCTATTTATAAAGGAGAGAAAACAATATGTTGATTATTTTATCTCTCATTTAATGGGGGTGTATAAGATATTCTAGATATTTACATGTATGACTCT